ACATACATATGCAAAATATATAAATACCCATACATGTATATTTTCAGAAAAAAAATTCCAAGAGGAAGAATCCAGGTAGAACTCAATGTCTAGGACAGAATAAGGATATATAAAAAAGGCTTAAACACTAATAAGACCATGGAATATTAGTGTTTAAGCCTTTTTATATATATATATATATATATATATATATATATATATATATATATATATATATATATGAAGGTGTAAAATGCATTACAAATACTTATATTTCGCTGGTAAATAATCCATAGTAGTTAATATAGCACTAAACAAAATCAACCAACCAAACATTTACCTAACTACCTATCTACCTACCCTACCTAACTGTACATCTCTCTTTGGGATTTAAATGAAATTCCACCTCTTATCTAAACTCTTTATCTCAACCTTCATTTCCTTCCGCCTTTTCTTCCAATAATATGACACACCTCATCAACCATTACCATATTGATTATAGCTATCTACTTTGAATTGGCCACCATCCTTTATTGGATGGATGAACATGAATTATGAAAAAGGCTATTTAACGAACATATTCTGGAAAATAATATTTTTTATTGACGAAGCACTTTAATATAACAAACGGACAGAGGGAAATAAAAGAAACTTATTCATTAAATTTAAACACTGCTTTTTTATCGCGCTTAGATCTATCCTATCCACACCGGGTTTAATTACGTCAAATAGTAATAGGAGTAATTTGGCGTGGAAAGTAGATATGTCTTGCGTGATTTTGGATGTAGATTTACGATAGAGATTTTCGAAATCAGTACACTTTCAATACATTATGGCATTGATAAATTTCTGTTTTAATCAAAACAGTATTGTTTATGTGGTCGCAACTATTAGGACGAAATACTGATGCATTATGTCTGCTTTTATAATATCTCTCTTATGTTCATATAATATTTATTCATTTCCTAGATACGTTTGATTCCGTTATATAAATTTTATCAATAAAGCCTTCGTCTGAAAATGCTCGCAATGAAACGCGATTTAAATACGTTTCAATATATATATATATATATATATATATATATATATATATATATATATATATATATATATATATATATATATATATATATATATATATATATATATATATATATGGACAAAGCACGCTGGCTCACACGGCTGTTTCTCCCGTAAAGAGGGGCGCAAGTTAGAATCCTACCGGAGAGTACATTGTTTTATTAATTTTTTTTTCTAATGCGCCGGTCGGTAGACAAAATAAATACTAAAAGAAAAAAATACAAAAAACAAAAACAGAGCGTCTACTCATATATGGGTATCCAATAAAAAAAACATTCCAATGTATAAAAATGTCCATTATTTCTTCAATATATATATATATATATATATATATATATATATATATATATATATATGTGTGTGTGTGTATATATAGGTAGTAAGCGGTTTGTATAATCCGGCCGAGTCCTATTGACACAACATAGAATTTGAAATATGTTAAAACTGACTCACATAAGGGTGTTCAATGTTTATTTTCATTAAACAGACCAAATTTTCTTCATAGTTGGAATTAATTCCAATCGTAAAGTATATATATATATATATATATATATATATATATATATATATATATATATATATATATATAAGCATTTCACCCCAAGCAAGGCGGGAAGCCACTAGGACGCAAAGGGTTACAGAAAATTTAGAGCAAGATCAGATAGGAGTGATAGAAGAAAGGATGAGGAGAAGAGTAGTGGATAGATCAAGGCAACTGGAGATGTCGATTGACATTACACTTGAATAGCTGGAGATTATAGCTTACAGGGAAACAGGAATAGGGAAGGGAGTTCCACAGGCGAGAGGTGTGAGACATGAAGCTATTGGTGTGTAAGAGACGGGTACATTTAGGAGTTTCGACAATGAAGGGGTGAGAGCGGGATGCCAGCCTGGTATGGCGCTTGAACTCATGACGTCTGGGAACCAGCGAATGCAGCTCCTCGGAGCAATTTCCATGAAAGTATTTGTAGAACAGGCAGAGGGAGGCGACTGCGCGTCTGTGAGAAAGTGACTGTAGACGAGACGCCATGGCAGGGCCAACTACATTGCATATCCGCCTCTGGAGCCTATCAAGAACCCCGAGGCAAACAGAAGGGGCTCCAGACTATACATGGCAGCAATACTCCATGCAAGGGCGAATTGTTGATTTGTAGATCTGGAGGATCGACTCCGGGGAGAAAAACCTCCTGGCGCGGCCTTGGGAGCTAACTTTCCTTGCGGTGGACGAAGCAATTGACTCAATGTATTTGTTCCATCTCAGGTCAGCAGTCAACATGAGACCGAGAAGCCGCAGAGAGTTGTTCTCGAGAAGTTGAGCGTCAGACATTCTAATGGAGGGAAGGGAAGGATCTCTGTGGTGATTAATAGAGAGCAGTTTTGTCTTAGAAGCGTTGAAGTTGACCAGCCAAGTCTTGCCCCAGTTCACAATCGATTGGAGGTCCTTTTCGAGACGCACGGCCAGGTGAGTTTTGTCAGTGAGACTAAATTTGTTTTTGAGGCAGGAATAAATTGTGGTTTCATCCGCGTAGATGCCAATTTGGGAAGTTATGGCGTCAGGAAGGTCATTTATGCAGATAAGGAATAGAGTGGGGCCTAGGATGAAGCCTTGAGGAGCACCTGCGTTCGTGGGATAGGAACTGGATGAGAATCCGTTGAGAACGACCATCAGTTCACGGTTTGACAGGAATGATTGTATTAGGTTATATAATCGACCCGTAATGCCATAACCCTAGAGCTTGCGAAGAAGGCCGGCATGCCAAACCCTATCAAATGCGTTGGAGATGTCTAGTGACACGGCACGGGCTTCCCCGTTATTTAGAAGAGCTCGGTCGACAGTTTCAGTGATGGCCGTAAGCACATCAACTGTAGATCGGGCAAAGCGGAAACCATATTGCTTGTCTGAGAGCAGATTATGGGATGTGAGGTGGTTAACCACCTCGCTATTGATTAGGGCTTCGAAGACTTTGCCGAAGAGGGGAAGGAGACTGATAGGACGGTAGTTGGAAGTGTCAGAGGGGTCGCAGGAGTTCTTGAAGACAGGAACGATCGAAGAGGTCTTCCAGCAGTCAGGAAAACAAGATTCCTTGAGGCAGTAGTTGTATAGTTTAGAAAGGGCGGCGCCAGTTCAGGCGCGCATTCCAAGTTCAGACAATATATCAAGCAAAAAGATACGGTCACAGCATCATTAGATTACTGACGAGACACTTTCGCATCTAGCCAAAGGCATTCAATTTTCCATTTTTCCTGATTTTTTTTCTTTCAAACCGGGATTTCTTACTAAACTATCAAATAAGGGAGAATCATTGGGACAAAATGTCTTACTATGGTAGAGCACATTGACGAGTGGGGGGAGAGAAAAAATAAAATAAATTAAAAAAAAACAAAAAAAAAAAAAAAAGAAAAATGTAAATGGGTCTCTGCTAGAGCGAAACTACTCACACGAGGCAGCAAGTAGTTGTCTGCTTTCTTCCTCATGATGGTAACTGAATGTACGGCTTACCTTAGTCCCAGTGTCGACTTGGTGGTGGGGGGGTCAACGGCCAATCCTCCGCCCTCACCAAGTACTGGGCTTGGGAGATATGCTTTCAATAAGATTTTGAACAGGAGAAAGAAACGGCTAGAACAATTCCAAGTTCAGGCAATATATCAAGCAAAAAGATACGGTCACGGCATCATTAGATTACTGACGAGACACCTTCGCATCTAGCCAAAGACATATATATATATATATATATATATATATATATATATATATATATATATATATATATATATATATATATATATATATATATATATATATATATATATTGGGGGGAAACAAATATTCGTACACATACACATTTTAAATTCAAATTGGAATATATTAGAATGTTCCAATAATGTTATCAGTAGTTATTTTTAGCCTAAAAATAGAAACAGGACATTCTGTAATTGATATTTGTGCAAGAAGGTTATCATCATGGCGAGAGTTAAAGAATTGACATATTCGCAAAAAGAACTGATTGTTAAGCTCTGGATGAAGGTAAAAGTTACAGGAAAATCTCAGACAACCTGAATATTTTATTTACTACCATTACCTCATTCATTCATTGCAGGGTATAAATAATCAAAACTGTTGCAAATTAAACCAGAACAGGTGCTTCATGGAAGATTTCTTCAAGATATTCTAGTGCGTTAAATTAAACAAAATCCAATGATTACTCGTCAAGTGTTGCAGGATGATTTCATTTCATTGGGAAATTTGTGACATAAAAGACACGGTTTGGGGATGTTTTTCTGCAAACGTTACTGGCAACATATCAGTAATAGGTGGTAGAATAAATGCCGCAGAATATCAAAATATTTTGGAAGCAAATTTAATGATTTTAGGTTGAAAATCTTCAACTTCCACTTGATTGACTCTTCCAACAAGATAATGATCCTAAGCACACTGCAAAATCTACGAAGAATTGGCTTGATAAAATTACTGAAAGTATTCTGAAATATCTAAGCCAGTCCAAGATTTAAACCCTATCAATAATATTTGTCGTTATTTGAGAAGTCAAATCCAATCGTCAGCTCCAACAAACATCCCGAATCTGAAGACCATATGCGAAGAAGAATGGAATAAAATATCAACTAAAGTTTGCAAAACATATTAAAAACATATGCAAAAGTATTAAATGAAAATTATGTATTCTCTTCTTTGTATTGTACGAATACTTTTTTCACATATTACAATGGATAAATGGGATTTATTTCTATTAAATCAAATTTCTTTCTGTTCTCTATGAATATTTATTTATTATACATCTGTATACAGTTAATTATAGGAAAAGTATCTTTATTCATTAGTTGTAAATATAATATATTAAAAATTTGTACGAATATTTATATCCCCCAACTGTATATATATATATATATATATATATATATATATATACTAGTTTAGTGAAGGTATGTTCGTATCTGAGTATATTCATATCTATCTATCTATCTATCTATCTATCTATGTCTGTTTATTAATTATCTATCTATCTAGGTCTTTTCCTTATCTCTCTCTCTCGCTCTCTCTCTCTCTCTCTCTATATATATATATATATATGAAAGTTTGTTCATATTTATCTGTCGATATATGTATGTATGTATGTACATATCTATCTATCTGTATCATTATATATATATATATATATATAAGTGAACATAGAAGTCAACGATTAGAGGCGACAGTCTGTTTCATGCAAGATGCAATCGACAGGGCTGACAATTGCATGAAACAGACTATCGCCTCTAACTGTTGACTTCTATGTTCACTTTTATATTTACACAGGCTCTATCTCTGATATTGAGCACTTTATCCCAGAAATATAGCACATCTTTTAAAACTATATATATATATATATATATATATATATATATATATATATATATATATATATATATATATATATATATATATATATATATATATAATTATATATATATGTATGTATGCATGCATGTATATATATATATATATATATATATATATATATATATATATATATATATATATACAGCTAAGTCTGTTCATATCTATCTGTAAATATTCATATCTGTCTATATCTATAAATCTATATAGTTTCTTCATACCTATCTATCTATTAATATTCGTGTCTATCTATCTATCTATCTATCTATCTATCTATCTATCTAGACTTGGTCTATCTGTTTTGCTACCCAAGTACCATCTTCCCTTCAGTCTATTACTCTATATGGTCTATCATTCTCAAAGTCGAAGCAATCTGATAAAATTTTATTTATAATTTTCTGTAATCGAGTGACCAGACATTTCATCTGCCAAATCAATAACCGCCATAATTTATGTTATTGTTATGTAAATAAATAGAGAAAATCTATTTTGAGCGCTGATTCTATTCTGAACCAATCCGTGTTCATTCCAACTGGGAAAGTAAAGTTAAAGATTTTTGATTAACTTTATCTTTCGAGTCGAACTCTCCTTAAGGCATCTTACATAAAGATTGATTATCAAAGGACATTAATCATTTTCAAATTAAAACAGTTTATGAGGAAAAGTTCACAGTTTATGGCAAATTTTATTTTATTACTGCTTATACAAATTATACACACACACACACACGCATACACACACACGCACACACAAAACACACACACATATATATATATATATATGTATATATATATATATATATATATATATATATATATATATATATATATATATATATATATATATATATATATATATATATGATAAAGGGGCATATTATCAGCATCTGAAGTTTCATTACACACACAGACACGTCTCGTCTACTTAACCCAAACGGCGTAGAGATAATTTAAAACGTTTCCTTATAGCATTTGCACGAATGTAATAACAATTTTCCAGCATATCAAGCGAGTGGGAATACAATCTCTCACACACACACACACACACACACACACACACACACACACACACACACACATATATATATATATATAAATATATAAAAATAAAAATCGTGAGTTTACTGATGTTATATATACATAAATATATTATGTATATATGTGTTTTATATATATATATATATATATATATATATATATATATATATATATTTCATTGAAACTTTTGGTAGACAGGGGAGAGCAACTAATTTTGTATTTAGTTTTTTAAGCTTACGTTCTTCTGTTATGTAACATAATATCTACCTTGATTGATGTTTAAAGGAAAAGTTGCTATCTATCTATCTATCTATCTATCTATCTATCTATCTATCTATCTATATATATATATATATATATATATTTCATAGTGTGAAACGCCTGACACGAAAACATTTTTACTTTTGTCTTTTTTACAGTTTGTCTTACTTTTTCCCGCGCAATTTTTCTTGATGCATAAAAAATATACAATTTTCGATAGAATGATAAGATAAAGAACAAATAGGAAACCATTATCAATCTAATACTTTTCGCCTTTCGCGAATTTAAACCGAGAGAAGAGTCCATTGGAAGTTTCAAAAAGTTAACGAAACGTCTTTGTATATATATATATATATATATATATATATATATATATATGTGTGTGTGTGTGTGTGTTTGTGTGTGTGTGTGTGTGTGTGTACGTTTGTGTACGTGTGTGTGTACAAATGAAAGAAAGAAAAGATGGAGTAAAAATGCCCAGTTCGTAGCACTTATTTTTTAAAAAATGCTCAATTCAAAGTAGAGCAATATATTATTATAATATTGTTATTATACGAGATTATAATAAAATCATTTTGAAATAGCGACACAAAAGCTTTCATGTTTCAATTAACATTCCTGAAGAAGTACAGTCATAGTATAGAAACATGAAATCTTTTGTGTAACGATTTCAAAATATTTTTATTATAATCTCTTAATATATATATATATATATATATATATATAGACGAGGGTCATTCAATAAATAATGTGAATTTTTCGGTATAAGGACTTCTAATACAGATAGAAGCTTAATATTTTTTTTAATTTTTCAACGTAGTCTCCCAGCATTGTCACACACTTTTCCCATCTGTGTACAAGCTTATATATATACTAGCAGCATGGCCCGGCGTTGCCCGTGCTTGATTCAAAAATCGTACGACTCATACAGCAGTCGCTCTCACTTGACTTTAAATATTTTTGCCCTTCCTTGTCTTTAAAGGAGTGTCCTTTGCCGTGCTGATGTTGCTACATGCCTTACTTCTTGCCTATCTCACACTGCGAATTTTTTCTAAACAAAATGAACACAAAACGATGAGCTTTAAAAAAGGACTCATAACTGGAAAAACCGAATGAAAAAAGAATGTTAACAACAAATACTTTTTCACACCCAACCCAGTTCTGCGGAACCAGAATCAATGTTGAGTTTAAGCAAGCGAATGAGCCAATTGGAGTAAAGTGCCACGCAGATTTAAATTTTTCCCACTTGTGACGAATGCCGCTATCGATTTTTTTGATTGCTAGCATGCTAGTTAACATTCGTGTCAGTCAGCTGTTGGCTCTCACGCTGGGCAATAGAATCTTCCTGCCTATTCGTGGCAGCCAGCTAATGGCTCTCACTATGGCCAGTGGAAAATGGCCGCAAACTACATGAAAACTACCGTAGAAGCATGAAAAAAATCGATTATTTCCACTATCGATAGAAGTTAGGACATGCAAAGTCGGTCTTGGCCTTCCGGCTAACTTGGAGCATGTGCATGTAAATTTTGGTGCAAATCCGTCGAAAATTGCGGCCGTGCATTCGTTTACACACACACACACACACACACACACACACACACACACACACACACATCCTGTTTTATATATATATATATATATATATATATATATATGCGTTCTGTTGATTTTTTAAAATCATTTCAGATCAATAAAGGCAGTAAAGCCCCTAAGAGACAAGTGGTTCGTGAGTGTAAAACAATACGAAAAGGAGTTTTATTATTCAGTATGATAAGTGCCATACGTGATACGCCTTTGGCTGATCATGTCTCTTTCGATCCATGACGGACTAGGCAGGAGATTTTCTCACGGTAGATTCCCAGTTCTTTCTGTGCTAGACTGGTTGCCAACAAAGGGTTCAGAACCCAGACTGTGCTGAAATTCAGCCCATAGAGGAAAAAGTGATAGATTCATACCTTTCCTCAGAATATTTGTACGTAAAGAAATGTAATGAACTCGAGTGGAATTCGAACTCGATTCTTCCATTTCTCATTCCGAGGCGATATCCATTACGCCACCCACGCACATCCATACGGATATATTAGGAAGGAGTGAGAACAATAAAATGGCAAGTAGTGGAAAACGATTGATATTGCATTAAACCTTTCTTGTAGATCAAACCTGGCTGGAAAGCAAAAGCAAGAAGAAAGTTCCATAATCGAGAATTGCGAGAGAAGTAACTGTTAGCATTAGCCAATTCAACTGTAAATTCATGAGACCTAACTGTCTATCTAGCACTGTGCTTAAATTCATAAATCTAGCTACCAAAGTGAAAAGTTCATGCGAACAATTACTATGAAAGTATTTATAGAAAATGCACAGGGAATCTACATTACAGGAGTTGGAAATGACTAAAACCGAGATGCCAGGTAAGGACCAATAATGTTGCGGTTTCTTTGGATTTTATCTCTAGATATACAGCAAGAGTGCCGTACTATATGTGGCAGCAATATTCAAATTATGGACGTAATGGTAGACTTATAGATATGTAAGACAAATTCTAGAGAGAAAAAGTGCCTAGCACGACAAAGTGAACAGCAATTGATTCAACAGAATTTTTATACTTCATGTCAGCAGAGAGTATTAGCCCCAGAAGGCACAATGTCACGAGTAGTAGTAATAGTCGGAGATGGTGTGCGCATGGATTTAATAGGACAAAGATAGTGGGAGTATATATCAACAGTAGTATTAGTCACATGGTTCAGTTAATGGGAGCATAACGTCAGCAGTGTTACTGTTGAGGTTGTGTTAATGAATTAAATCATATTGATAAAAAATTCTTGAGTAAATTAGGCTGCGTGATGAAATTAACAATTTCCTCGCACATTAATGGTTAATATTCAACAAACATAGAATAAGGACAACATGAGAAACAACAGTTTTTGCACAACAATGAATAAAATATTTATATAACAAAGAGGTACAAACAACTGGAGTAAAAAGGTAGTTTTAAAAAGTTCAAACATCCTTTTATGTTTAGATGAAAGGTTATCAAAGTTCTGGTTTGACAGATAAGAATTTGTTGAATGGTCTGTACAATAATGAGAACGTGTGTTTTGATATTATAGTAATTTAAGAAAAAAAGAAACAGTTCAAGTTTGTATTTGAACTAGAGAAATATTGTTTACGACTTACTTTAAGGTTTACGGAATTGTCGCTCTTTGATTTGTTTTCACTTTTTCGAAGAGAATTTTCTAGTTGGGGTAAGTGGTTCTTAACAAGCTGTGTTTATGTTAATTGCAATAATTAACGTTGAGCTTGAAAGCGTATGAAAAAGAATCGTGTATTAAGTTGAATGTGGAAAACTTGAGTTGATTGTTTGTGATAAAATATTGCTGTGGGAATGAGTGTTCTCTCAGGCTGGAATCATGTTAAGGAACTTTAACGTAAAGCCTGGAACTGTGTGACGACTTCAAAGGATTCCGATCGGCGCACTGTCGAAGATGAAAGACGTTTCATATTTTATTGCGAACTTTGGTCACGTGATAGGCCCACAGAAGCTTGATTGATTTTGGCGGAATTATCTTCTTGTTCAGGTCAAGAACTAGGTCGATGTTGTTAAATATTAACTGACCAATTAGAAGTTGAGATTTTCTGAAAATATTTACTAAGCTGAATAAGATCTGTGGTCTACTTTTTGTACGAAAATTGATATTGATAAAAAGGTGGTAGCGGGATGCTAAATTATCGTTCGTAGAGTAAAGATGGTGAGAGTAGCATGTCAGCAGTGGTCGTGGAGATTCATAAAGATCATTGAAATATGGCATTATTAATTGCGATTAGAGAGTAAAGGTGGTTAGAGTCAACGGTGGTATTAGTAATAGTATGACAATGGTTGGAGTATGACGCAACAAGGAGAGAAGTCATAGAATAAAACTGGCAAGAGTATGATGTTATAAGTGGTGATAGTCATAGGGTTAATTTAGTGTGGTTATGACACCAACAGATATAATAGCCGATGAACTGATGTGGTAAAAGTATCAAAAATAACTTTGATAAAAAAATTATAACATTTGTCATTAATTCAATCATTCTAAACGAACGATAATCGAACCCACTTTTATCCTCTTCACACAGATACGTGTAATTCTCACGCAATCCACAAGCAATCCACACGGACAGGCCGTTAACACGTCCGACAGCGAAAATTTTATCTCCTTTTCTTATTTTCGGCCATAATCGTAATATTTACATTTTAGCACTCAACAAAAATTCGAGGTAAGAAATTTTAAGAGAAAGCTAAAAGCTTAAAATAAAAATTGACATATGTAAATATAATAGAAAATATCATATTATATTTTATTTTTTATATATATATATATATATATATATATATATATATATATATATATATATATATATATATAAAAACCCTCGATTACTGCGACGAATGCATACATAGATTAGTATGATAAAATCAATTTCTAATTGATATGGTTAAACTGAAGAATGTTTTACCGCACTCATCTAGTATTATGTATTCTTTATTAGAAATTTGGCTTAATAAAATTTTAGCGCACTAATCGAAAATGCATTAATCGAGGGAGTCCTGTGTGTGTGTGTATATATATATATATATATATATATAAATATATATATATATATATATATATATATATATATATATATATATATATATATATAATTTGTTCAAGAAAATAGACATTATGTTCCCACTCAGTAAAAAACATAATAAATATCTTAACTGAAATAAACTGTTGTTTTTTTTCATTTTTACTGAAAGTTATACTAGCTTGGTAAAAAAAAAAACACAACACTATATACCGATATAACTCCCTCCAGATAGACACATACACGAATATATATATATATATATATATATATATATATATATATATATATATATATATATATATATATATGTGTGTGTGTGTGTGTGTGTGTGTGTGTGTGTGTGTGTGTATTAAACTTCAAAAGTAAAATAACCGTTGAACATTCTTGTCTTTATTATTCATACTGGTTATTTCCTTCCCACTTGACTTCTGGATAATTTTCCTAAGTGCTGACCTCCGATTCCCAAGAAGTGCTTTTCGAAGAGTAAGCAAATGACA